TTTTTTTGAAAATTATATGGATTGAAATGAAATATTTTTAACAATTTATTTTTAGCGTTCATTAAATGAGTGCTAAATAGGCAAATAAATTAAAGTAAGCTGGATATAGATCAAGTAAAATTTTATATGATGATTTTTAAAAAAATAATTGATAGCATATTTTTTTTATAAATAGTATAACAATTAAATTAATGCACCGGATATCCATCCATCCATCCCTAATTATATTTGATCATATATGGTAGAATTCTAATTTTGGATTGGGTTAAGCTTTCTCGATTTCTTTTTGTTTGTATTTTGTTTCTTGGGCGCATTTCTCTTCAATATCAGTTTCATGAAGATTAAACGGCCTGTTGGTGTTTATCAAAATATGTAGCTGGCCCAGTTTGGATGTATGGGTCTCTTGGGTTGTGTTAAAACAAAAATTCCCAAGTCTAAAAATACAGCTTCATGGTTATCTATTTCTTTAATTTCACATCTGTTTTGAATATTTTCAAATCTGAAATTTATTTATTTTCTTGTTTAGCCCTTATCTTTGCAATACATCTAGTTTCCAATTCTAATCAAGTCGGTAATTAAGTTTATGGAAAAAGTGAGAGAGTATTGGTCCTCAAAAGATCTATTTCCCAGTCTCCACTTCGGCGCCATTTCCTTTAGACTTGCTGCTCTTTTAAAAAAAATTTAAGGTGATTATTGGAGATGGGCCAGATGGCCAGTCAGTCCTGTTCTAGCCTTTCTAGGTTCTCTTGAGGTATTTGCTGCAAATTCCAGTGTAGAGAATCTAATGAAAGCGAGGTGGCTAATCTTATGGATAATTGCTTGGAACTGGGAATCCAAAGGATTTGTTCCCTGCTGATATTACACAGGTCATTGCTTCTTCATGCCCCCCTAATCCTTTAAACGGTAAGGATATCGTTTTCTGGAGTAATGGGAATGGTGGTAAAATTTCCAGTGGCTTCAGCTTACAATATAATATAATGTGGATGGTTTAAGGGAGAAGATGTAGGAATGGAGCAAAACCGAAAGAATTCAATTTCTTCTTTGGTCGCCTTTCCAAGAGAAAGTTCTCACTAACAGCAGTGAATAGACTGTTTGTATCATATGTTCAAATACGGTGGCGGCAACTGTTCAAGTTTTTAAGTTCCTTTTGGCAGTACTTGTTCCTGTGCACTTAAGGCACCTATATTTTCTAGGAATGGCTTAGGGACATCTCATGGATAGTTTCAAGGGAAAAAGTTCCAATACAACTGAGATTAAGGTGCAACTCAAACAGCCATTTATCTATTTGTAAGAGGTAAGGTAACATGAAGTATACAAACGAACAGGCAAATAGAAGATAGAAAAGGAAGAAATAGATTACAAAATAAACAATCCACTAGAAAAAATCTTATTGTTGTACAACAGAGATGGATTACAAAATAACATGAATTATAAAAAAAAATATTTTTATGTGTAGTTCTCAAAATTAATCTATTTTAAACTTTGATTAGGTGTTAAGCATTCGAACCATTTAGATATTTTGAAATTAATATTAAGATATATATATATATATATATATATATTTCAGAGCTTCAAAAAAAGTTGGAATCATTCTCAATTATTTTCTATTTCTTATGAATCTGTAAATATTTAATGTTTAAGAAAAATTTTAGAAATATGCTCTAATTTTTGAAATTATTTTTTAAATTTATTGAATTTTTATTAACAGATGTGAAAAAAATTAGTTCAAAATATCAAAAATTGAATTCTAACATTATGTTGCAAAAAAGACTTAAGTCATGAATGAAGAATTAAAGTGGAGAGTATAACTATAGATTTTTGAAAACTAAAGAACAAAGTTACATTTGAGTTGAAAACTAAAGGATGAAAGAATAATTTACTTTTAATTATTTTCTTATGGCTAATTGATTTTTCAGTACCCTAATTTTTTGTCAAACGGAGATAGGTCCCAAACCTTTAAATCGATTTAGATCCCAACCTTTAATCCAGCTGAATTCTCGACAAAAAATCTGCATGTGTTGCTGGTGTTTAGTAATGCAGAGAGCCAAGTAGTTAATTACATTACGGAATCTGAAAGCCTTAGAAGACCTAGAGGAAAAAAAATATTTGACAAACATAACATCACAATTATCTACCATCTTCAAAAAATTTTAAAATGGATGTCTTGTAGAGAGAAGTGAGAGCGAAAGGAGAAGAGAAAGAAAAATAGAAGAGAAAGGAATGAGAAAGAAAAAAATAAATAAAGAAGACAAACAGATAGTAGAGAGAAAAGGGGAGAGAGAGAAAAAAAGAGATAAAGAAAGAAAGAGAGAGAGAGAGAGAGAGAGAAATAATCGAGAAGAGAGAAGAGTAAAAGAAAGAAAGCCCATTATTTTTTAAAATTAAAATTTATCTTTGTTTAATTAAAAATTCAAAATGCTATAGAAATAATTACATTTTCTTATTTTGCCATCAAAAGTAGAACAACATGAAAGCCCATTATCTTTTCCATTCATTGGCACTGCAACCCGTCGAAGTGTGCCTAATCATCCAAATGATTCACAACATTGTATGAAAAAATGTAGTAGACAATCAAACAAATAAATACACTACTGAGAAGAATAAATAAATTACAACCAGAAAACAAACAAAAAGGCGTTTTATGCTACAGCAAGAAATACAGAAGAAACACAGGAACCAGAAATGTTAATTACAATAATCGGCTAATCAACAACCGGCTGAATTGCATTTCCTGCTTCCCTGAAATTCGACACATTCTCCAAGAGATTCTGGGATGCTTTCTCAAAATTAACGAATCCCATTAACCAAAATTCGTGCTCGTCGATGGTGACAATCTGAATATACTTCTCTGGTGGACTTTCTTTCATGATAACTGGGTTGACTGTGCTTATCTTTTCCAAGGGTATCATAACCTGATTAACGAAATTTTCATCATTGAATTAATTAGTACCGTAAGAATTATAACTAGATAGAAAATTTCTAGTCGTCTGTTGTATCTGTTATATAATTAGTACCTACATGCTCAAGTTGTTGTCTATAGGCAATGCACATTAATACAAAAATTGCTAGCTGTTTTGATTTGCATTTGCACAATTAGACCATGTAGGTTAAGCTCATGGTGAAAGTAGATTAGCTTCTTTAGTTAGTTCTCTAAACACTCGTGTGGTCGGATTTTTCTTTACGTCTATAATTCGTATTTACATGAAGTGCAGTAAAATATGTCAGAATTTGTGTGTGGCAATATATTTACCTTGTAGTAACTCCAAGCCTCTTGTCCTGAAGGAGCAGTATAGCACAGAGGACGGTCGCTGCAGAAAGCAACTCGAGCAGTTGATAGATAGAACGTTCCAGCAACAGGGCCAGTAGATGTTGAAAGGTAACAAGCAAAAGTCTTCTTCAGCTTCTCATTAGGATCAGTTTCAAATATCTGCTTGAAGAGAGACTCAAAGCCACCCTCTGTGATTGCTTTTGCCGTCAGGTTTACCTTACCCCATACGGCTTGTGGCACAGACGGCCCAGTTTTAACTGCAGCCAATTGTAAATGCAGATATATGTTAAAAATAGATCACAAACAAGATGTACTTGAAATAAAATTCAATGGCAAAAAATTGTTATATTTATTAGCATCATAAATTGTTCAGTTCGCCACAATCATGTAATATTTAAGGTGGTATTCATGGTATGAACATCAACTTACGATTGTGCCAGATGTTGCGGGCTACGGTCTCTGACTTCTTGCCCCATTCTTGGAACTTATGGATCACAGGTTCAAAAGATTTCTGGGTTGATTTTTCTGATTTTTCTATGGGACTATAAACCAGGTATGGATAATCAGAGATTTGCTGGTGCTCACCGGCATTCCATAAGGCAGCCTGTTGGTTGCCAGGGTGAACGTTAGGTGCTGCTGGTGGTCCCATGACGTGGGTGCCCCATTTCTTGGTTTCCTCATCCGATGCTGGTGGTTGATCAGGCTGTGATTTCTCCGTGACAGAGGCAGATGAGGTTGGTTCGTTGAATTCTGCCTCTTGATCGGCTTTAGGAGATGATGCTACTGTTGGGTCATGTGGTGCTTGTTGGATTTCTGTTTCTTGAGGGGTGCTTGTCATCTTGATTGAATGGAAGCTGGTAAATGTGGCTAAACACAAAAACTGGCAATAAGACTGGTAGTTATTTCTTTCAGTGAACTCTTGGAAAATTTGATTGTTTTGTTAGTTGCTAATAAACTCTCTATTTATAGAGGTTCCATTTTTGGGTTTTCTATTTTATATTATTTCTGGACACGGTTTCGTTTTCTTTACAGCGAAGAACGATGAAAAATCAACCTTCCAGATAGTAAGAAAGCTGGCAGCCTGTTCGCCATATGAAAGGGCATTGGAAGCCAAAGTCAAAGCACTAATTTTCAGCGTCTTGACTGATTAATATTATCAGGAGAAGAATGGAAGCTCTGGATTCTTTGGTTTAAATACCCAAACATGTCATCAGGCATCAGCAACTTCTATTTCTTATCAGCAGTCTTAATATAACGGATCCTATCAAGGGGACTTCGCAATCTTGGTTCTGTTCAGACTGCAACCCCAACCCCCACCTTCCTAATAGAGATGGATGAACAACTGGCGCATTTATCAAAACTTTCTGGAATCTTCTTTTCGCATCCGTGTGTTGACAAAAGCTATGGTCTTTACTTGATAAATAGCGTTAGGGGATTAGGACTCCCTTCTTGCAGAAATTCTCTCTTTTTTTATTCGGTTTTAGGGAGTGGCACTAAAAGTTATTCGTGGGTTTTAAATATAATTGTGACTGTGTTTGATTTTCATATTTTATGTCCAAATGAATCTAGAAAATATCTAAGAAACAAAATTTTAAACTAGGAAAAAGAATGAAAATAGATGAGGTAAAAGTAGAGGAAACAAAATTTCACCAAATAGAGCATAAAATAATTGTTTAAATATAAAATTCTATTACATCCCAGTATTACCTAAAGGATCCAACAGCAGATGCATTCATGGGCTAACCGACAACCGGTTGAATTGCGATCCCAGCTCACCTGAAACACTCTCTAAGAGATGACGCGATGCTTTTTTGAAATTGACAAAATCCGTAAACCAGAATTCGTGCCCATCAACGGTGACAATCTGAAGGTACTTCTCTGGTGGATCTTGTTTCATGATCACTGGGATGACTCTGCTTATTTTTTCCGAGGGTATCATAATCTGCTCAGAGATATTGGTATTTTTGAATTTATTAGTACCATAACCATATGGCTATAACTAGATACAAAATCCTGTATGGTGCAGACCCTGTCATAGTGTTGTATCTGTTAGACTATTACTATTACGAAGTGGTTTCCATGAATGGACATGTTATAAACTCAAGTATTGGCAATGACAAATGAAGGCTACACACTAACGCCAAAGAGTTGCTGTTTTAATAAACATTTTCACCATCAAACCTTTTAGATTGAGATTTAATGGTCGATAATACATACATACATACATACATACATATATATGGATTTATTTCTGCAAGTACCTGTTTGTGTCGGATTTTTCCTACCTTTACATTTCTTTTCAATTCAATAGAGGTGCATATCGAATATAACTTCAAATGTAGTGATAACAATTTCTGCCTGGAAATATTCTTACCTTATAGTAACTCCAAGCCTCCTGGCCTGAAGGGGCAGTATAGCATAGTGGAAGATCACTGCAGAAAGCCACTGGAGCGGTTGATAGATAGAGGGTTCCAGCAACAGGGCCAGTAGATGTGGATAGGTAACAAGCAAAAGCCTTCTTCAGCTTCTCACTAGGATCAGTTTCAAATATCTGTTTGAAGAGAGATTCAAAGCCACCCTCGGTGAGTGCTTTCGCTGTCAGGTTTACCTTACCCCAAACAGTTTCTGGAACAGATGGTCCTGTTGTTACTGCAATTTACATATGGATAATCAGCAAAAATAATTGGACTTGAACCAAGATATGATGTTCAGTTCACAAGGATCATGTTCAAATAAGACTGCTCACAGTAAATTAATTAGGTAGTAAATTAATTAGCTAAGTTAAAGATTAGTGGAATCAACTTACAGTGGTGCCTTCTTGCTCCATTCATGGAACTTGTGGATCACAGGTTCAAAATTTTGGTGGCTAGACTTTTCTGATTTTTCTACAGGAGTATAAACAACGTACGGATACTCAAAGATTTGTTGGTGCTCAAAGGCAACCCACAAGGCAGCTTGTTTGTTGTCAGGGTGGACGTTAGGTGCTGCTGGTGGTCACATGATGTGGGTGCCCCATTTCTTGGTTTCCTCATGCGATGCTGGTGGTTGATGAGGCTGTGACAGTGGATGATGAGGGTGGTTCATGAAATTCTGCTCCTGTAGCTGTAGGAGCTGAAATGTAGGGAGGGGTCCTTCATGTTGCTGTGCTGTTGAGGTGTGCTAGTCATTTTGGCCGGCTGGAACTGAATGAAAGGTATAGATGTGGCAAAAATCAGGAACTTGGAGTCACTGATTGATTTTTCCTTTCAGTAGCTTTTGCCAGTTCTGATTGTTTTTGTTAAGGAGCTACGCTGTCAAGATTTGGGTGTATCACATACATGGTCATAATTTCTTAATTTGTATTGAAGAAAGTATATAAATCACCTTCTAGATTGGAAAGAATGTCCTTAGTCTGTTGGTCAGATGCTCTTTCGAGTGTTTAGGTGAACAGGTGGCAATGTCAAAGCATTTTTTTCCCGCTAGACCGACTGAAATTATCGGGGAAGAATCGAAGCTAGACAGTAGACACCGTTAATCACTTTATATCCAAACGAGTCATAATCCCTCTTTTTTTTTTTTGGTTTATGAGGAGTTCTGTTAATATTTGGTTACTTAACATTGAATTAAACAATGGAGATAATTTTTTTTAATTATATAATTATAAAATAAACTAAAATCATTAAGACTCCAACCTGTTTTATAAAAAAATTAAGTGAGTATACAATCACTAAACAATGCCTGACTGTGTATCTGATCCCATTCTTTAACCATGCATTTACGTGCTCTTAATTTACTTTTTTTTTAAAGTTAGACGTTCACCATCTGGGTCCTTTTTATTTGCTTTAATATTGATAGCATTTAATTCATAGAAACTCAAAATTTTTAGTCTCAAGTACTTAAACCTCCTCTACTCTGTTTAGGATGCTGCTAAGGCTTGCAAATTGCGAAATGGTAAACAATGTTCAATTTGGTGGCCAGTGCGAAAAGTTTATCAGAAAATACAACCAAAGGCAACTCAGTTTTCAAATATCCACATAAATATATAAATAAAGAACAATAAAAATATGTGGTACACAATCAAACAAACGAATACATGATGGGAAGGGATAAATGAATGACCAAAAATAAAAAAATAAAAAAATTAACAACAAACGCCCTTCATGCTACAAACAATAAATCGATGTAAAACAAAGAAAATTGAAATTTTGAAGGGCATGAAGAATTCAACGGCAAACGCAATCATTGGCTAACCAACAACTGGTTGAATTGCACTTCCTGCTTCCTTGAAACTTGACACACTCTCTAAGAGATGTTGCGATGCTTTTCCGAAATTAACAAAACCCATAAACCAAAAGTCGTGCTCGTCACTGGTTACAATTTGACTGTACTTCTCTGGTGGATTTTCTTTCATGATCTCTGAGTTGACGGTGCTTATTTTTTCCAAAGGTATCATAACCTGCTCAAAAAAAATAATAATAATAATAAAAATAAAAACGAAAGTATTAGTACCATAAGATAGATGGTTCAAGCAAAATAGATATTCAATTTGAGGTTTATTTGCCAGTACATGGTATATTTTGATATCAGAATGGCTAGTTTTGTTTTGTTATTATCTCCTTCAAGTACCCTTTCCTTTATGCAGGGTTCCTCTAAACTTTACTTTTGTTTGCAATTGAATAGGCAATTAGAGCTTAATCATGATATATAATAACTTCGAATGTAGTAAAATATGTCCGACTTTGTGTCTAGCAAGATATTTTACCTTGTAGTAGCTCCAAGCCTCTTCTCCTGAAGGAGCAGTATAGCACAGAGGACGGTCACTGCAGAAAGCGACACGAGCAGTTGATAAATAGAGAGTTCCAGCAACAGGGCCAGTAGATGTTGAAAGGTAACAGGCAAAAGTCTTCTTCAGCTTCTCATCAGCATCAGTTTCAAATATGTGCTTGAAGAGAGACTCAAAGCCACCCTCTGTGATTGCTTTTGCCGTCAGGTTTACCTTATCCCATGCAGCTTTTGGCACAGAAGGCCCAGTTTTAACTGCATTAAATTGTATGAGCAGATACGTGTTAAAAACAGATCAGAAATAAGATTGTAATATACACTTGAACTAAATTTGATGCCATAAAATTGTTACTCTATCACCATTCACCACAACATGTTCAATTAAGGTTGTAGTTTATCAGTTAGCTAAATTTAATAATTCATGGTAAGTGAACATCAACTTACGATTGTGCCAGATGTTACGGGCTACGGTCTCTGCCTTCTTGCCCCATTCTTGAAACTTATGGATCACAGGTTCAAAAGATTTCTGGGTTGACTTTTCTGATTTTTCTATGGGAGTATAAACCAGGTATGGATAATCAGAGATTTGCTGGTGCTCACCGGCATTCCATAAGGCAGCCTGTTGGTTGTCAGGGTGGACGTTAGGTGCTGCTGGTGGTCCCATGATGTGGGTGCCCCATTTCTTGGTTTCCTCATCCGATGCTGGTATTGGTTCAGGCTGTGATTTCTCCGTGACAGTAGCAGATGAGGATGGTTCATTGAACTCTGCCTTTTGATCAGTTTTGGGAGATGATGGTACTGGTGGGTCATGTGGTGCTTGTTGGATTTCTGTTTCTTCAGAGGTGCTTGTCATCTTGAGTAAATGGAAGCTGGTAAATGTGGCTAAACACAAAAACTGGAAGTTCAAGACTGGATGTTATTTCTTTCAGTGAGCTATTGGAAGATTTGATTGTTTTGTTAGGTGCTAATAAACTCTCTATTTATAGACGCTCCATTTTTGGGTTTTCGATATTATAGAATTTCTGGACACGGTTTCGTTTTCTTTGCAGCGAAGAACGATGAAAAATCAACCTTCTAGATAGCAAGAAAGTTGGCAGCTGTTCGCGATATATACATTATGCTCTTTCTAGAAAGGACATTGCTTTAACGGAAGCCAAAGTCAAAGCACTAATTTTCAGCGTCTTGACTGATTGATATAATCAGGAGAAGAAAGGAATCTCTGGCTTCTTTGTTTTAAATACCCAAACATGTCATCAGGCATCAGTAACTTCTTTCTTTTCAGCAGTCTTAATATAACGGGTCCTATCAAGAGGACTTCCAAATCTTGGCTCTTCTCAGACTTCAACCCCAGCCGCAACCGTCCTAACAGAGATGGATGAACAACTGGCGCATCTGTCAAAACTTTCTGGAAGCTTCTTTTTGGAACCCGTGTGTTGACAAAAGCTATGATCTTTACTTGATAAATAGCATTTGGGGATTAGGACTCCCTTCTTGTAGAAATTCTCTCTTTTTGATTCGGTTTTAGGGAGTGGCACTAAATTTGAACTAAGAAGAAGAATGGAAAGAAGATAAAGTAAGAGCGAAGGAAACGAAATTTCACCAAATTCGTGTCAAATTGAGCATAAAAAAATCGTTTAAATATAAAATTCTATATTGCATTCAACGACTTGATCTTAGCAATAACAATAAAGCGTTTTATAATATCCTTATAACTCTGTATGTGTGTTTAAGAAGAAGAATGGAAAGAGATAAAGTAAAAAGTAAAGGAAACGAAATATCACAAAATTTATGGCAAATCGAGCATAAGACAATGGTTTCAAATAAAAATAAAAATCAAATATTCCAATCTCATATTAAAAATAAGATTAATTATTTTCAAAAATAGAATAATAAAATTTAAATTTTTTCAATAAATACAATTTTAAAAATCTATACGACTTTAGAATTCAAATTCATTCAACAATAACAATAATGCATCTTAAATATGTGTGTTTAAAAATATAATAAAACTAAAAATGGTGTCTAACTATATTTATACGGTGGAGTTTAAAAAATAAAATGGAAATTAGAAATGAAAAAGTATGGAAGACAATGAGAGATAAGATAACCAATTTTAAGGAATTAAAAAAAAAAAAAAAAAAACATAATAAAATGGTAAGAAAAGAAAATTTTTAGAAGGAAGAGAACATTAAAATAAATAGATGCAGGCCAGACATTACATTATGCCGCAAGCTGGACTCGTGTGGGCTATTGCCCATCCTAGTCGAAGGCCCAGGTTAGCTTTAAGAACAAATAGAAATTAGAGCCCAAAATTTGTTAGGCTTACGGATCCTCCTCCGGGATGACATACCACCAACCTAGTTCATTCGGTCCGATTTCTGATTTCCGATAACTTGGGCCAGGACTAGAATTCTTCCTAAAACTTCTTCTTATCTTTTTTCACCATTTTTAGCTGCAAGCACTTCGTAATCATCATAAAAACCTCTTGAAACTTATTTTAAGCCTGAAATAGTAGACGCGAAAATTAGCTTAAAAATAAGAAATTTTCGTTTTAGATCCAAATGGTTGTTTTTCATAATTCAGCGATTCTGATTTTTTATTAGTGATATTCAACTTCTGATGGCTCAATATACATATTTCAGGTATTTTTGTTCCATTTTTTTAATTTTTTTTTACTATTTTATTTGCCAGCAACCTTTATCTTTTTCTCTTTCTATTTAAAAAAAAATATTCAGAGAAAAATTAGATCAAAAGGTAAGGTATGATCAAAGGAAGGCTGAGATCAATTGATCTTTCGTTTTTGTGGAAAAAAATAGCAATCTCATAAATAGTCCTGCTATGGAAATTATTTAGTAAGATTTGTCCGATACTTTTCAAAAAATTTGAGATCATTCTAGATAATTTTCTAATTTTCATGATTTTTTATATTTTTATTTTTTAAAAAAACATAAATATATATTTTTTTACCTTAAAAAAAAATTGGATTGTTTTAAAAAAAAAGTGATTAATTTTTTTTTCAATATGTGTGTAAAATTTATGCTCAAAATATGAAAATTGATTTTCTTTTTCTAAAAGAGGCAATGTTAACTAAAAATCATAAGAAGAATTGAATTTTTAAAAAATAAAGTTTAGTAGAGATCAAACCTTAAATTAGAAGTCCGATAACTTATTTTCAAATTAATTAAAGTTTATAAAAAGTGTGGCCTGTATAGTCTTAATTTGTGTGTGTGTGTGTGTATGTGATGGGGAGGGGGTTGGTAAAGAGCCCAAA